AACTTTTTATGCTCTATTCGCGCTATTAGTTTCAAAAAGTTTCGAAGCGCCCGCTAAGAGTTATTCGCCATTCGATTTGCAGAATGTCGCTCTACACATTGAGTGAAAACTGATTTTTTTTAAAAGTCTGAACATTTTTCAAAAACCAAGAATGCAAAACCGTATATTAGAGTTATACCATTTTGTTACTCGCCCCGAGCTCTTGTATTCTAGACCACTCTCGATTTTCCCGCTTGCTGTCGTGCTGAGCTGGAAAGCGCTTTGTGTCGCTCTACACAAAATGACACTTTTGCGTGCAAATGTATTTTCGACCTAGAATGATTAAAAAAAGTAAAGGACGAGAAAATATGAGTAACATAGGTCGATACAGAAATAAAAGTTCTACAAACTGGCCTGTTTACTTTTTTATTCCTTTCTGCCCTATCTTTGAAAAATCTATTTGTATAATGGTGAATAATCCGGAAAATGGGATTTTTCGACTTTAAATGGGTACAACTTTGCGAGTTGACCAGATTTTTCTTTTTGTGGTAGTACAACAAAAAAAAATCTTCGAAACCGGTGGGCAATGACAGAAGTTATTGAGAAAATATCGTAAAATTACAATTGTACAAAAAAGTTACGATTCGCTCATATATTGAAATATACATTTCTTTTCTCATGCGTCGACAATATATAAGTATACGTGCTTTGTGTCTAACGGGAAATTTTCCAACTATTCTTTCGTGCAGATAGACTGTCTTATGTTTTTATATAAGTGAATCACAACTTGCTGTATCTTTTAAAACGTATAGCAGTCGTGAAGCCAGCATTTCTGAAGACGCTGAGAGAACAGCATCGTTGCAGACGTAGCGGCATTTACACTCATATCGCCTGGCACGGCAAACTAATTAGATTTGATGAAAAACATGTTAATGTGAAAGTTATAAATTGTACTAACCAACAAAAATGTTTCGGTATCTTGATAGGATATCTAAACATTATTGATATCTGATTTGGGATATCGAATTATATCCTGATCCTGATCGGGATATAATTTCAAACTATATCTCGTTCGGAATATTAAAAAAATTTTGATGTAAAAAAGATATCCAGATCGGGATATGTATCCCGGTTGGGAAGTTCACTCAATCGAGATATGTCTACACACTGACAAAGAACTGAAAATAATTAGTCTAAAATAGAAGGAGAGACGCGAGTATAGAGGAGGGGAAACTACTGAAATTGAAGAAAAGTCTTCAGCTAGCCAAAGATTAATCGAAGTGCGAGAGTAAGTATATCGGCTTCTAGTAAATCTTTTTCAATTCGTGCTATGAAGAGTGAACGATGGATGCAGAAAAGGCAAGGAGCTGGGAACTATATACTAAGTTTTTGGATGATGCAAAAAAAATGTTTCTGTATGATAGTTTTAGGTTATTACTCGATAAGACAACTAGAGGAGTAGAAAAAGATGCTAATATAAAGGCTAATCTATAACTTTTCGGCATTTTGGAAACAAATTTTATTCTCTTTTACTGTCAGTGTGGAAAATAGAGCTAGAGATAAAAGATTTAGGGTAATAATCATCCAGCTGTAAGAGACTAATTTTGAGTAGCTTTTTGCGATTGATAGTAAGAAAAAAAAGAAAGTTTTTGGGAGAAGAACCAAAATGTTTTTGTTCAGTCACTACAACTGTTTTCACAGATCTACGATGCAATTTAAACAGTTGGCATGGTCGGAAAAAAGACAAGATGAATATACAGAGAAAAATTACGTTACAAAACATCTCGTTTTGTAAAATGTTTGCTCCACAAAATGCATTCGTTATAAGAATTTCGAAATTATTTCTATGTTCTTAGAACAGTGATCATCACTTTTCAAAAATAGAGACAGAAGTTTGTCAACATGCAGATTTGGCAATCATAAGTGTAGAGCTGTTACCTGAAAGCGTGCGCCACTTTTAAAAATATGGAATTATCCGTTGTAAACTGTCACCTTTTCAGTCCAAATTTTGCAGAAATGGACAAAAACATATCAAAGTTCTTCTCGTATTCGTTTTCAACAGTTGTTTCTACATGTAATCTGCATTGATAACTGCAATCTGAAAATAACTGGTTTTGTCGTATTTCAGTCTCTCGAGAGCTATGTCAACCTCATCGAACGCAGTTTCTATCACAATTTTTATTGGAAAACAATTCTCTATCTTTGTTGGTATTCCCTTAGTTTTATTTGGTCTCATCGGAAATGCAGCTAATATAATTTTATTTATCACGACAAAACTCCGAAGAAGTCCAGTTTCTTTCTATATCTGTACATTGTCAATATCTAATATAATTCTTTTGCTCACTGGCTTGTTGACAAGACTATTAGCCGATGGATTTAATATAGATCCATCGTCTTCAAACGTGGTATATTGCAAAATGAGAAATTTTTTGATTTATATAACACAATTAACATCTATTTCGCTCACTTGTGAAATGTCATTTGATCGTTTTGTTTGTAGCGGCCGACGAGCTACTTTGCGATCATTTTCAAATATTAAAACAGCAAAGCGTGTAATATTTGTCACATGCGTAGCATGTTCGATTATTAACATACCGATGCTTGTCTATTTTGATATAACAAATGCTGGTGGACGTGCAGTATGTGCAAATGTATCTGTTTATTACAGGAATTATATTTCATACGTTCAAATTATTGTATTCTATGGTTTTGTACCAGTTTTTCTTTTATCTGGTTTTGCCATTAGAACATATAAAAACTTACAAATAATAAAACAGAACAGGATAAACAACCAGCCCGTCCGACAAGAACAGAAAAACTATGATGAACAGCTGACACCAATGGTGTTAACTCAAATCATTATTTATATAATTGGAATAACTCCTTTTTGTATTCAAAACATTTATACAGCATCCACGCGATATCGGATTACAGACAGTCAGCATGCTGCTCTCGACAATTTATTTGTATTAATATCTCGTATTTGGTCTTATTTTAATGTTAGTGCCGGCTTCTATAATTATTTATTATCTAAACCATTTCGTAAACGAGTTTTGATGATCATTAGAAGTTTCTTTCTTCATCGTATTGGGAACAATCAAGTTACTGTAATTGATGGTGGAATCATTCATTTGCAGCAACAAAAAGTTTCAAATGTTGACCAGACAAACGAATGAAGAGCAGACGTGACACTTTGCACAATTGTAAATTGATTATGTGTAAGACAGGTACTGATTTCTCAATTTTTATGCTCACAAAAGAAATGTTTTAGAAAGAAAAACGACGAGAAATGTTTTAGAAAGAAAAACGACTTATTGCCTTTTCTCTGAAAACAGCACACATGTGCACAATTCGAACTTACATCGGTCAACACTGTTTTGTTCTCTCAACCAGATCACTTTTGAGAGAAACGTGAGATAACTTATACTCCTCGGCAAATGGAACTCTCTTTTAAACAACTGAAGAACAGTATTTTAGAAGAAGAATGTGTACGCCGAATGCGCGACTCGAGAGAATAATCCACGTTTCCGACGCAGCTTTTATATCAAAGCTTGATGGTGGTAATAGCTGCTTGTTGACACTCCCAGCAATGTTAGTGCATTATGGATGTGTGGTAGTGCCAACGACACTCCCGACCAATCATACTTCGTGATTATTGTGATATATCAGCTACTGTCTCCTTTTCTCGTAGAGTGATTTAAACTGTGCAATGGTGTCAGATTTTGATTTTGACGATGTATCTGTGACTGTTTGACGTTTGCTTTCATTCCAATCAGTTATCAGGTATACTTTAAACGCAGGAAGCGGAGTTAGAATCCTCAGGACGCTCATGGTATTGTTTACTCCCATATTTAAATCGAGAAATATTAAGCAAATAAAATTTTAGAAAATTCTAAAAAAGCGTATCAACGCGCGGATTATTTTTTTCGATGGTATATTACTCAGATTCCCATAATACCTATTTAATCATTCTGCCATATAGTCTGCTATATCCAAACAAAGCTCTTTCAAAACTCTACAAAATGCTTGATCATTGATTTCTAATCGTTTCTGCGAACACCGACATTTTTGAATATTACTATTAAAAGTGAACTTCTCAGCATAGCCAACGATAGAATTTCTGTTGCTTTTACCGTGAGAGAACCTAGGTTGCGGTCTACATTAAAGTGAGTGTTCGCACTTTCAACTAGAAATGAGTGACCCACCATTTTGTAGAGTTTCGAAAGAGCTTTGTTTCGACATATAATGTAGACCGCAACCTAGGTTCTCTCATGCTAAAAGCAACAGAAATTCTATCGTTGGCTATGCTGAGAAGTTCACTTTTAACAGTAATATTCAAAAATGTCGGTGTTCGCAGAAACGATTAGAAATCAATGACCAAGCATTTTGTAGAGTTTTGAAAGACCTTTGTTTCGATATATAATGTAGACTGCAACGTAGGTTTTCTCATGGTAAAAGCAACAGAAACATTATCCGTCAGTATGCTTGGAAAGATTACTCTTCACTAGTAATATCCAAAAAAGTGAGTGTTCGCACTTTCAACTAGAGATGAGTTACCCACCAGTTTGTAGAGTTTTGAAAGAGCTTTCTTTCGACATATAATGTAGACTGCAACCTAGGTTCTCTCATGCTAAAAGCAACAGAAATAGTGTGGCTGGTTATGCTGAAAAGTTCACTTTTTAACAGTAATATTCAAAAATGTCGGTGTTTGCAGTATCGAATAGCAATGAATAACCAAGCATTTTGTAGAGTTTTGAAAGAGTTTTGTTTCGACATATAATGTAGACTGCAACCTAGCTTCTCTCGTGGTAAAAGCAACAGAAATGCTATCGTTGGCTATGCTGTAAAGTCGTTCTTATTGCACCCCGTCCTTTGCATTAATTTTGGATTTTTATCAGTAAGATGTTTTTCATAAATGTTAAATGCTTCTTTATGTTTCTTATCAGTATTATCATGTTTATTTGTTGAGTGCAATAAATTACTATAATTCAGTAAAAGATCGGCTTTCATTAATTATTTTTCTAAAGCATCATGTGTAATTTTAAGACTATGTTTCTGTCATAAAATTTTACAGCTGTATCATAATTTTGTTGTTCATAATAAACTTGTCGTACATTACAATAAATTGATCTTAAATGTTGCCGATTGGATTTTAATTCACGTAATAGTAAATGCTCAGCTTCATTTAAATTTTCTATGAAATCATTCGTACAACTTCTTATCAATAAAAGGAGTACTTTCGATTCATCAAGTTCTAATCTACTCTGACATTCTTCTATGACTTATGGGTATCTCCTCAAACGGTTACAAATGTTTTTGGAGTCGAAGTCGCTACCCTCATGAATTTGTTATTAAAATAATTTAATATCAGAAATTTTATTTCTCAATTTCAGCGGGCGCTAGTGCATTTTTAATAGTCGATTTCAACATTTCAAGAAAGGTTGAAATCGAATTATATTGAACTGTTGCTGTGAAAGCAATCAGGTCGATTTGTAACATACATGCCTGCAGAAAATCAGTTTTGTCATTTTTATGCTTGTTTAAACATTAAAAGCTTTCTTTTAAGAATAAAATAGAAAGAAAGAAAAAACATAAAACGAATTATTAGAACAGGGCTGGTAAGAGCTCCCTTACGCGCGAACCACCCTAACACTGGATATGCGCCAGACTAGAAAGTGTGGGATCCTGGCACTCACATCCCCCCGCCCTCCGCTCTGTTTCGACGTAATTCCGTGCCGTACTCTGTTCGTATTTTTGCCCGGAATTCGTGACATATTCTGTGCGTTTTCTGGAAAACTCTGGCTTTCATCAGGCCATATTACGACCCTTGAAAAAATAGTCTGATCGGGGTGAAAGTTTTACCATAGATACTTTAGACCTTATCTCTTTTTCATTTAAGAAAATATGCTTTCCTCCTCGAGATATTCGAAAAATCTGTATAAAAGAAACGGTTCTTTACTTTAAAAACATTCTCACGCTGAAAGTTGGAATCAAAAGCACTTAAAATAAACGAACCTGAGATAGGGTCTGAACTATCTATGGTAAAAATTCCAGCTCGATTGAAGAGACTATTGAAAAAACGCATAGTGAGAAAAACACATATTGTACACAGGGTTCTGTTTTTCAGGGCATCTCCACAAAAGCTCATCAGAAAATTCTCGAAAATGTCTCATTTAGAAGAGCACACTTTCTTCTATCATGCTATTTAGAAGAAAAAATTTTCAATATATCGGAAGGGAGAGAAAAATTTACGAAACTAAAATACTCTAGGCTTTGAAGAAAAAACTTAAAAACCTCATAATTTTTTCAAGGAAGGTCTTGGAGAGCTGGCAGTGGTCTCATTTTACATCTCAGACTTTCCTCTGCATTAGACTATGTTCAGCTCAAAATGAAAACTTTTTTTTTGCAATATATGCATAATCACCGATATGAGAGATTTTTAGTAGCTCACTCTCAGCTACTCCCTACGTCCTTACTTTGGCATGTGGTGAACTGTTGTTGTAGAGTCGTACATGACCTGATATATATAAATCGTAAAAGCCGTTTAACAACTTTAATCATGTGGAAAGTCGTAACATTGCTACAACTTTCTTGAGGCGTTACGAATTTACGATTTGGACATGTATAAGCAAAAAGAAGAGAAGAGAGGACATCAATCAATAAATTTGTAGCAGTAAGTATGATAATATAATTGAGGGGAGAGAAGAGAAAAAAGGTAGGCATACCAATCACGATATATATATAGATGGTGCCTAATGATTCTTCAAAATGTTCTTGTTGTAAATACACATAACCAATATTATTATAAATTAATGCTAATTTATTATTATTAGAAAATTGTAAACGTATTTGATGATCTAATGCATCTTTATATGATTTAACCCCCTGGGGACGGGCGACGTACATTTTTTTTATTTGTGTCCGACAGAAAGCCAACTCTCATTTCCCCGGTAGTGTCGGATGGGAAACGTCAAAATTGTGATATTTGACGGCTAACGAAAGCAGTGGCAACTTGCGGCGACGGTGTCGGCTACAGGTTTATAGCAGAAATGAATAGCTGTATTAAACGAACTACTTCTGCTGTTGTTGTTGTTTTTGGACGAGTTTCGAAATGCATAAGCTTTCGTTCGGATATACATTAGAAAACGACTGAGATTGAAGATATATGAAGAATAAGAACAGAAGTTCATTTTCATAGGGAACAAATGCTACTGCTATTATTCATTTAATCTCGTTCATCTTTCTTATCAAATTCTTCAAAGTTTTGCAGTTGAAATCTTTGCCTATGTAGAGATTTATTGACAGATATATGAGGAATTGTGATCAATATCAGCAAATCAATGGGAAATAGATAAAGATGGATGCTCAGCGCTCTAACTATATGAACATTTGGACTGAAATCGATGTTTCGCATATTGTTTACTTCTTTTAGCCGCGCACACTGAGTAACGATTGAGTCTACTACCATTCTCTAGTAGAGACAATAGACGTAGCTAACGTGTACTACAATTGAGGATATCTGAGTGATTATGAGCGTATGTATATATCAGCAGATATCGCTGCACAATGAGTCATTTCCTGTACTGTGTGTGTGTCTGACAAAAATCCAACCCTGTACTTACGCGTATAAGAAGCGTTACACTACGACAGATTCTCTAACGGCTAAGATGGGTAACCGCAACGTGTATTATGACAGAGGATCTTGAAGCAAAACTTGAGAGAGAGTTCGAAAATACAGTCAAAAAAACAACCGCATAAATTGAAGATACAACTTCCAACCGGTTATCGGAAGATGTGGTTCGATTCCTGCGCTGATTTTGTGCTCTTTCTTAGCAAGTCTTTCGTGCTTGTTAAGACATATTCATGTGGTTGCATTTATTTCAGAACATTACGTATTTTCGTGGTCAAGACATGATTGCTTATTTTCTGAACTCTTTCAATATATATTACCATACTCACCGTCGTACAGCGATAAAGTTGAAGAAAGATCTATCGGATCACTACTATCCTGACACATATTCGTGTGCTTATTTCGGATATCTGATGTGTAGTTTGTGTGAAGAAATAATAGTTTAGGTAAGCACCGTTAGAAAATCGGTTAATTAGCGTTAATTACCAATTCATGAATTACCATATGAACTTTTTTCCAAGTTTTGAACTATAAAATGATCTCCATTCAATTTTCTACAATCTGATGTAAAACCAAAGCTAATCTCATTCATTTCGTATTGTATGTGATGCTTTTGCTGAAAACCCTAACCGTTAGACGCAAAATCTCAATTTTCAGAAAATGTGGCTTTTAGAAAGCGTTTCAGAAAACCACAAAAAGTAACTTGAAATTTTTAAGGAGATCAGATCCATAGAATTTTTCATGGGCTATTTTTTCATATATTTGGTTTCAGGAAAAAGTGATTATTTTTGACACGTGGGAAAAGCTTTTCTTGATATGTTTTAGTAAAATTTAACTAGAATATTATTAGTTATATATAGTTTTTGAATTGTTTCTCAATGAAGTTTGGTGAGAGAAAATTTTATTTGATATGCGTTTTGTAGTTCGGACTATGTTCTTTCAAACAAAAAGAAAGTGAAGTCTCCAGAATAGTAGGAGCATAGAGAAACAGCAAAACATTTGTTGCAAAACTTATGCATAACTCGTTAGCTTCTAGATTCAGAACGTATCTGATGATGACTATCCAAAGAGTAGTCGTAACGCGTCGTATGATGCTCTGAATCTATTCTGTGAAACTCACCCCTCACCCTCAAATTGAATAATTTACAACTTGAAATAGTAACTCTACTGTTCTGACTATTCAGATTTCGTAGTCGTGAACAAGAGTTCTGTTTGCTGCTTAAGATAAATTACTTCGAACAAAGTAAGAACAAGGTACTCGTACGGCGAAAGATCGAGAAAGATCTGATGGATTACAACTGGACTGATCGTTTTTGTTTTGATTACTCTGAACAAAGATATGTAGCTACTACGTAGCTGAGAGGATACTCGGGTAGTTTAAGGTAGAATGGCCTTGGGTTATCGGAAGATGCAAGTTCGACTCCTATCCTGGTTATGTGATCCTTTTTATCTAATCGTACGTGTTAGATAAAGCATGTCAATTGTGGATGTTTACAGTAATCAGATACGTAACGTTTCGTGGACATGTGAAATGAAATCAGATAATCTATATTAAGATTCTGCTGTGCTTTCTCTTTCGATTAAATTATTTAATTTAACTCACCCTCACCCCACCCTCAAATCGATGATCCTTCTTTTCAAGTTGCTCGTACTTGTTAAGACATATCAATGTGGATGTTCGCTCGCACATTCGATGTGTATGGTGTCTTGGACAAGTGAAATGACAAGTAATATTATCTTTCTTTAATCATTTTAACTTAACTCACCTTATTCTTGTGCAGACCTTTCTGCAATTTAAAATCTAAAAGTTCTATCAGAATGTTCAGATATATTTGTGTTAGTAACTCTATTGTCCTGATTCTCCAGTCGTGGACAAGAGTTCTGTTTTGATATCGCAGCGTGAAACATGTCTGATGATAAATTAGATCAAGTACTCGTGCAGCAATAAGAAAGAAAATGATTTTCGATCATTAATGTCCTGAAAGGTGTAGACTCGGGTTATGAACGAATCGATATGCGATTCCTATGGAATTGGGGAAGAGATACTAGGTAGCTTAAATAGTAAAGCATCTGACCGGTTATCAGAGGATGCTGGGATCGTCCTCTAGTCCAAAATCGATGATCCTTCTTTTCAAGCTGCTCGTACTTGTTAAGACATATCAATGTGGATGTTCGCTCGGACATTCGATGTGTATGGTGTCGTGGACAAGTGAAATTATCTTTCTTTAATCATTTTAACTTAACTCATCCCTCACCCTCAAGTGAAATGACGATAGATTATTTAGGATACAATCTTTGCTTTCTCTTTCGATCTAAACGTTCATACTCACCAATTTATTTAAAGACCTTGCCGTGAATACGTATCGCAGCTATTATACCGAGTATTCTAAAACCTGAAGTAGTAACTCTGCTGTCCTGAATATTCTTACTTCACACATTCGTGGACAAGAGTTCTGCTTTGCTATTTCAGGATAGATTAACTTGTATAGAGTCACGGAAAGTATTCGTACGGCAACAAAGATCGAGGAAGATCTATCCAATCACTAATGTTCTGAACTGTTTGTTTTCAACTCTTTCGAATGAGACGTGTAGCTACTCGAAGACGATCGGGTAGTTTAACGGTAGAATATCCAATCGGATATTGGAAGATATAGGTTCGATTCCTGTCTTGATTGTATGATTCTTTTTGTGTTATCTTTCGTGTTACACAAAGCATGTCAAATGTGAATATTCGGAATAATTAAACCTCCAGAATTCGTGGACAAGTGAAACGACGATAGATTATCCTATTTAAGATATAATCTTTGCTTTCTCTTTCGATTAAAACGTTCATACTCAAACCCTTCATCAACAAGGACTCGAATGCGTTCATTTCGCTGATCAATACACACTAGTGCTTCTAAAATACAATTACCATAATTAACTCATAAAACCCCAATTTGTTCAATCATATCCGAATATACATCAGGTAAATGCCCATATTTATTTTTCTCGCTAATCTAATATCATTTTTCCCTTATATACATCATGGTGACTAGTCTTACTACTGTGAACTCAGTTTATCAATACATACAGAGTTTTTGGATCTATACATCACAAAAATTTCATGCTAATGACTTTATAATCATTTAGATTTTCTTTGCCATCTGAAGAGTTCTGTCTTTGCCGACACGAAATCTAGATCATGGTAGCTCTTCGCACCCTCACCCTCAAGATCCGGTCCAGAAGTTTCGACCTGAAATGTTTTTGAAAGCTGCATGATAGCGTATTATTCTCCTTCTCGTAAGTTCTATCCTTACATATAAATCATAATGAAACAGAAAAGAGAATAGTAAGTCTTCATCATTGTTCTTTTGTTTATTTGTCATTGATTAAAACAGAAAAAATCCTTACATTCTGCTTTGAAATACGATATGCAATTTCTTTCATCTCCTTCGAGCTGCACTCGTAAAAACACACCATGAAAAAACAGTAATCAAAATTTTGTTTTTGAAGACAAATGACTACTGACAACTCTGTTACCAAAAATCAAAAGGCTAACATAATCGTTATCACAGGGAATGATGCAACATGTCAAAATCTCCTCTCCATTATTCAAAAATCAGGAAATTGTGGTGAATTAGTTGATATAACAACACATGCTGTGAGTGTTTTGAAATCAGATCTGTACGATATCATCTACAAGGTTATATTTTCCAGATTACTGAAACTATTGAAGACAAATCAAAAGCATCGTATAAACGTCGTGAAGCTGACTTGACTTGTGTAATATGTGAAGATAAATGCTCTGGATACAATTTCAATGTAGTTTCCTGTGGATCGTGTAAATCTTTCTTTCATCGAAATGCCTCTCAAAATGTGGTAAATCGACAGTACCCGTGGAATTTTTCGGACTAAATTTCCTGATTCTGTCGTCTTCTTTTTGTAGAATGATCTAAAATGTTTAACTAACACTAACAAGTGTGATATAAAATTCAAGAATCGACGTCGAATATGTAGACGTTGTCGGCTAGAGAAGTGTCTGTCAGCCGGTTAGTGTATAACTCTGTTATGACTGGAAGATGAGCAAAATAAAACTGCATCTTTTACTCTATTTTATAGGTATGAAATGGAATTCTTCTACGGACGAAAAGTTGCACAAGCAGCGACAACTAGAGAAAAACAGACGATCAACGAAGAATGCGTCTGTTACTTTCGCACAGACAAGTTTTACACATGTATCTCTTGAAGAGAATGAACAGTTGATGAACGAACCAATTACAGTGTTGGACTCGCA